TAGTGTTATCTCTATAAAATAAAAAATTCTCAAAACTATTTTATCTTCTAATGGTATTTTTGTATCTTAACTTCCTCTATCTAACATCAAATTGCATAATATCTGTAATGCTAGTTAATTACTCGTTCATTCTAATTGATTGCATTGCTAATTTAAGATTTTAACATACCACATGCTCTACTTAGCAAAACAAGAGTAACAATTATAGTAAGAATCATATAATATGGCCACATTTTTCAATTGAACCGCCACCTTGTTAGCAATCCATCTTTCCCACCAATAGTAACAAAGATGAAAAATCGTGCACATTGAATGTCTGTCCTAAAAAGCCAAAAGGCACATTTGAGAAAATAATGTACATCTTTCTGAAATAACTAAAACTTTGTGTAATAATTAAACAACTCAGAAGACAGCTCTAAGCTAACCTAATATACGACTTTGTAAATTTCGATCAGAATGAAAAAAAATTCAGTGCTGATTCATAGACCAACAACAGCCAAGCCATAAGAGGTGCAAATGGAGTAAATAAAGTGAATTGCCCTATACAAGGCCTACATCAAGATAAACTTTAATTGGTTGTTCTCTGAGACTGGCAACACTGCGGATGTTTAGCATAGTAAAGCAGACTTTAGTAGCAACTAGTGAATATCAAGACCCCTTTTTTTATATTTATTGGGAGCAGTCACGGTAATCTACAGGTTAATACTGATTCATACTGCTATAGATCAAAGTGCTTATTAGCTAATGGAAGCATTGAAAACCCAGATTTTACCCACACAAGTACATGATCTCCTTTCACTAATCAACAAACAAGGGCTGCAAGATCCATATATCATTCCTCGCATTAGGTTTAATCAGTGTTCTAAAAGGCGCGCGTAGGCGGATGCGAGGCCAAAACGCCAAGCCAAAAATGTAGCATATAGAATAATTAATAATATTCTATGAAAACGTTCGGGTTTACACAGTGTGCGAGGCCAAAACGCCAAGTCAAGTGGCTGGCGTCTTATTTAGCGGTCAACGACAATTGTTGACCGCTAAGGCTCGCCTAGGCGCAATTATGCGCGCCAAGGCGTGCATTTGCTTTTTTTTTTTTTTACAATTCTTTGAAGTTAAAAATTATTTTTCAGTTTGCCCTAATTTAAAACAACCATTTGAACCCAAAAATTTCTCTCCAGTCTCCTCCAAATTGCAACCAGTCGGCACTTTCTCTCTTCCAAGTTCTACTCATCTTCAACACTTTCGAAGGTAAGTTAGACTCCCTCAATATGCAAAAGAAAATAAACAAACCTGATGTGTTTTCTTTTTGAGTGTGGGTCCATACTCCATAGTACTCACGTAGGCGGTAGGATTTCTAATTTTCTATAAAAAAGCTGAAATTGAATGAGACAAACCTTAGAATCTCCATAATAAAAGTCAAAAATAGTGGCTAATGGCTATGGGTAATGATTCAATGCACTGGTCCAGAGTTTCAATTTTCTCTAGTGTCCAATATCAATTTTACCATTTTTTATGTATAAAATGGGGTTGGTAGGTGGATAAAGGCAAATATAGTATTGTTATTGTGATCATTATAATATTCATTCATGAATTTGGAATCTTTGAATTTGATCAAATTATGTTCTTTTTGAACTAAAGAAACGTGAAAAAAGGGGGGGGGGGGGGTGTGAATAAGAAAATTTGGGGTATTTCAATTTTCATATTTACAGAACTTGTAATTTTGTGTGCATCTTAGTCTTATTTTCTTTTAGTACATTGAACCCCAATGTTTATAAATTTTATATTGTTTCTATTTTTTTAGGAACCAATGGAAGAAGGTGATTCTTCAACCGTATCTGAATCAAATGCTAGTCAACTCAAAAGAGATTCCGGGGATGTCGGATGGGAAACCGCGATTTTGGTAGATCCAACCAATCTTAATAATGTGAAATGCATATTATGTGATAAGGTTACTAGGGGAGGTAAATCTAGGCATAAACTTCATGTAGCAGGAATCAAGGGAAGAGGTGTGGCATCATGTCCTAAAGCAAGTGAAGAACAAAAAGCTAAGTGTGTTGTGGCGATTCAAGGGACCAAGTCTAAAAAAATAGAGAAGCTATTGAATAATGCTAAGTTAGGGGAAGATGTAAAAATATCTTTGCATACAACAGATGAGGAAGAAGAAGATGAAATTGCTATTATTGAAAAAGGGACTACGAAAAGGCCTATTAATGTGCGACCAATGGATCAATTTGCAAGGTTTATCAATGTCAACGATGCTTCTATGAATGCAAATAAGAAATTGAGACAACAAAATATGAATGATGCAATTGCTAAGAAAAGGTTATTAGAGGTTCATCGATATTTGGCAAGATGGGTTTATGAAGCCGGAATTCCTTCTAATGCCATTGACAATGATAGTTTTAAACTATTTGTGAAAGCCCTTGGTCAATATGGACCGGGTTACGTTCCTCCTTCCCAATACGAATGAAGTTAGCAACTTTGAAGGGAGAGGTGGAGAGGACAAAAGAAACTTTAAAGAAGCAAAAAGGAGATTGGAAAAATAATGGGTGTTCAATCATGACAGATGCTTGGAGTGATAGAAAAAGAAGCATCATGAATTTGTGTGTGACTTGTAAATTGGGGACCACATCTATTTCATCAAAGGAAGCTTCAAATGATGCTCATACAGGTCAGTATATATTTGACTATGTCAATGATTG